GCTGTGGCAAGCGTCCCACGTATAAAGTAGAGGAAGATGGGCATGGATGTTCGTTCAGGGCCAGCCTTCCTCAGCAAAAAGAGGAGGATTGGAAGCAGATGTTAGCTCAGGGCTAATCTTCCTCAAAAAACAAAAAAAAAGTACAGGGATGGAATGTCCCTTTTTCTCTCCAGCTTACTGCAGGAGGGGTGGACAAATGTCAAGACAACCACGTTTGTGCAGCACCTAGAAAACTGTCAACACTTAATAGCACTTATTACTGATTCAAGAGGATTATAGAGATATATTCTGCTCTTCATGAAGTTCACAGAAACCAGAATAAAACAGAACCGAATCTTGAGACATTGTCATCGGGAGCACATTATTCTCTAATAGTGTGACTTCATCTATCTGACTTTTGTGAGGAAAACTTCTGTAGGTGCGACTTTTCCATACAACTGGAAATGCTCAGAAATGCTTTCAAACTTTTAAAGGTCATTTGTGTTGTAAATATTCCTAAATGTCCAGCACATTTTCCGTCTTTCTTAAGTGGGGCCCCGGTTCTCGGATTTGGCTGGTCCAAGGGTGGTTCGAGTGGGTGGGGAGGGGAGGACCACTGATGCACAGTGACTGTGAATAAAGTAATGATCTAGGACAGCACTGGTCTCTATGCTTCTGAGGGTACCTGGCATTTGATTCTGAAACACCCTCATGACAACTGACCCCAGGAGGGCGGCCCATTTTGTAAGACAGTGACTGTAACCATGACCCCGCTGGCGTGGGGGCTGATCTGTGAGGATTCAGGACCGGGCTCTGTGCTGGCATTTGCCACTGAGTGTGCCCACTCTTCAAGCCTGGCTTTCTGAGGCTTTTTGACATTAAAGGACCCTCTGATGAGAAATCAGGGGACTATTTGTGGTAAATAAATGCTGGTTCATGTATTTTAAAGGCAAGTGATCTTTATAACTAGCCATCAGGCGAAGCTGGAAGTATTGATAAGATGGTAGTTCAAGACAGTAAGAACTTTCTAATGCCTGTTATTGCTATAGGGAAGTTTATAGCATGAGAAAGAAGTAAAAAAAATCGACATCTCCAGCTGATGTACCAAGTGAGTGTTAGTGTCTTCACAGATGTCTGTACAAATCAGCCCAAAGGAACTCTCCTGAGTCCTGACCGCAGCAAAGCACAGACTGTTAGAGCAGGAGGACGCTCTCACTTTCGGGATAACCCTGATCTACTGATTACAATCAAAGAAAGACAGGAGACATTTGCGTGACGGACTATTGCTGTATCATAAAAACAGTGTGTCTTAAATGTTGGAGAGGCTGTGGAGAAAAAGGAACCCTCATACACTGTTGGTGGGAATGCAAACTGGTGCAGCCACTATGGAAAACAGCATGAAGATTCCTCAAAAAGTTAAAAATAGAAATACCTTATGACCCAGCCATCCCACTACTGGGTATCTATCCTAAGAACCTGAAATCAGCAATCCCAAGAGTCCCATGCACCCCTATGTTCATCGCAGCATTATTTACAATAGCCAAGTCATGGAACCAACCTAAGTGCCCAGCAACTGATGATTGGATAAAGAAGATATGGTATATATATACAATGGAATACTACTCAGCCATAAAAAAGGACAAAGTCGTCCCATTCACAACAACATGGATGGACCTTGAGGGTATTACGTTAAGTGAAATAAGCCAGACAGAGAAAGATGGACTCTGTATGACTCCACTCATAGGTAGAAGTTAACATATGGACAAAGAGAACTGATCGGTGGTCACCAGGGGAAAGGGGGGCTGGGGGGAGGGCACTAGGGGTGAAGTGGTGCACCTACAACATGACTAATAATGATGTACAACTGTAATTTCACAAGGTTGTTAACTATCATAATCTTAACTAAAAAAAAACAGCTTGTCTTCACTTATAAGGTGCTCTGTATAAGTTATGTATATTTAGAAAACTTCTGTACAGATAAATAATTTATAAGTGATTGTAAGTAATGTTCGTGGTCTCTCCTAGAAAGAATTGGCTGTCACGTCCAAATATAACATGAAGCCTCTGGGAAAGCTAGACTCATTTCCTCCTCGCGGTGGCTCGCACGTTTTCCAGTGCGCTGAGACACTAGGGGCGGGGCCGGGGGCATCGACTCCTCACGTCACCATGCCCAAGGTGGTTTGGGGTTGCAAACTGTAGTTGGGGCAATTTTTGTAAAGAGGAGTGGTCCTGGAGCCTCTGTGAGAGACCTCAGATTAGAGAAAAGTGAGTTCCCTCGCAGGCCCCAAACAAAGGCCTTCTTTCTTTACGGCCAGTCAATCCTATTAGTGAAGGAGAACACAGCAATGGCATACTTACTGTGACTAAAAACAGAACTAATTTTGTACCAATGACATGCAAGTATGTCAGGCACTTACAAAACTCCTTTTCAAACTGATCTAAAAATGATTGCCCTCTAATATTTTGAGATCTCTTCAGAAAAAAAAAAAAAGCTTAAATTTTATTCCATAAAAATTATAGTCAAATTTCATCTCACAGTGTGCCCTAATTCTGGGACTTTCCTAGAATCAAGAAAGCAAATATCTTCAAGACTGGTCCTGAAAAACCTGCCTCTTTGGTGACAATAACCTTGGGGGAAGGCAGAGGGGGCAAGAGGCTGCTTCGGGGATGGGGGGTGGGGATCTTCCTCCTCCACGCCTTCCTAATTCTTCTGGACAGACTCAGGAGGATGATGGGCAGAGCACTTCTGGAGTAAATATTTTAAAAAGCCGCCGAGGAGGCTCCGTCTGTAAATCGTAGCTGTAAAACCGTGAGCGGCTGACAGCAGTTCCCGCAAGGCCAGTTCTCAGGCCACGGAGGCTGTGTCTGCCCTCCTGAGGCGGCGCATGATGAACATGCCCAGGGCCACCAGGGGGATGCACATGATGGAGGAGGCCACGAGTAGCCCAATGACGGCCAGCGCATGCGGCGGGTAATTCTTGGTCACGAGCTGGCCCTGAAAGGAGAAGCTGAGTGTCAGCAGAAAGAACTCCCCAGGCAGCACCTTCTGAGAGCACGGTGCCCTCCAGGCCCCAGGCCCTCCGGCTCGGAGGAGAGGCCGCGTGTGGTGGGCAGAGAGCACGTGCGCCTGGGCAACCCTACACCGGGGCCACCTCGCTCTGCACTTCACTAGTCTACGCTGGGTAGACTAATTCCCCTCGTCTTTCTCTTCCATAAACGTCCACCAGTGGTGCCACTGTGCGGAGGCATCGTAAAGAGTAACCACATGGATAAGCAAGAGCCTTACGTTTGAGGCACCACTCAGGGCACCTAAATGTAGGGGGCTAACCTTAGCCCGCACTGTCCAACAGGACTCTTGGGGAGGAGAGAAATGTGCTGTGTTGGTGCTGTCCAATATGGCAGCCACCAGACACAGGTGGCTATGGAGCACTTGAAACGGGTGGCCAGTGAGACCGAGGAACTGAATTTTTTTTAAATTTTATTTAATTTTAATGAATTTAAATTTAAATAGCCACATTGGCTACCACATGGCACAGCACAGCTACAGTCTCAAGAGAAGTCTTGATGGACCTCTGGACTTAGCTGGCGGGATGATGGATGTTTCCCTAAAGGCAAATGCATCAAAACGGATGAGAAATGAGGCCAAAAAGCCAATAAATGCCCCCTTTCCGTGAGGGAGCCATGGGACAGCTGTGCCCAGGGAAGTAGGTGTTTGCTGTCAACCAAGTGTGGTTTGTAAACCAAAATGCCACTCAAAGTGTGGTGCGGGGACCAGCCCACAAACTTTTTGTTACTCGCCTGCTACTCTTTTCATTCTGTATGGACAAGTACAGAAACTGGGAGGAAACATGTAGGACAGTGTTTTAGCAATTTGACAGCACAATCTTGTGTCTGTCGAAGAGAATAAGTAATTGTTGCTTATATTTTATATATCTTTTCTCATTTAATTTTTCAAGTAATTCACTTTCATTGCATTTTACAGAAGTATCGGCCTGCTGTGGACGGACTGGAGGGAGAAAGCAGCCTGGGCCTCCTCCACAGCCTGAGACGCCCCGCTCGACACGCTGCTGCAACCAGCCGAGGGGGCCCTTCCACTTCCATCAGCCCCGCGCCTGCGTGGAGCCCTGCGAGCTGGCCCCTCTCTGCACAGCCCCACGCACTCTATGCTAAAGGACAGCATCTTCTACCCACAGGAAAAGAAATCCACATTGGCCAGTAGTATCACTTTCCCCAAAAAGTAAGTTTTCTCTACAAAAGTGTGTCTGTCAGGACAGCCGGGGTTGACCCTGAGGCCTAATGCACCCATGTGGCCGTCCTGGCTGTGGCTTCTGGTTGGTGACCAGCCGCAGCCCAGCACCGTGAGGCAGCCCCTTCTGTCTCAGCCTCACCCAGAGCGAGACCCTCCCAGGACCCAGCAACTCAAGTGTTAACCAAGTCCCTGCTCCACTTGGGCTCCCGGAGGGTCCCAGCCAGGGGCCAGCGGTCAGGGGCCAGGGCCCAGGGCCATGCCTTCCAGGCTGCCTCATCCTTTCTGAAGGAGGCCTAAGGGGATGAGGGCAGGGGCCTGCTGGCTGAGGAGGAGTGCTCTGCCCGGGGGCGGGAAGCAGCGCCCTAGCGGGGAGGCCTCCACCACACCCAGGACAGCAGACCTGACTCTCCTTCCTGCGGCTCATGCTGAGACATCCAAGACCGGCTCTGCTGTCCTGGGCTGGGTGTTTTCAAAAACCTGGGTGACGTTTCCGTGTTGTGACAAATAGCCCACCCACACCGTGGAGATAGTTCCTCGGTTTCACAAAACTAAAGGCCTGTGCTCCCGAGTGAGCCTGGGGACCCTGAGACAGCAGGTACCTGGGAGGCGTCCCAGGCTTGGTACTGCAGGGCCTCGGAGAGGATGTAGTCACTCAGGTAGAAGACAAAGAGGCTGATGATGAGCAGTGGGCTCACGCCGGCCCACATGATCTTCCAGTACCAGTTCAGGGTGCGGCCGGTCATTGCCTTAAGGTCACTTTCAAATCTACTTGGGAAGCAGGCAGAGAAAGTCTGGATTATCCATGTTGCTGGGGTGAGGGGGTCCAGCTTGCACACCCCTAATTGCTTAGAGAGGTTCTGTTCTGGGCACTCTGGGGTTTGGACACTACCCCTGGGACGTCCCTGATTCCTTCTGGGGAGAGGGGTGTTGGGGGTGGGGAGGGGAGAAGGGCTGGGGCTGCCACAGAGCCGGGACAACTACCTCACAGATAAGTCGACACCAGAAGACACCTTCCTTGAGCTGGCCTTCAGATGAAGGCTGCTGGTGGAGCCAGAGGGCAGCTCCCCGGGGCGGCGGGAACAGATATCAGGCGGGACATCTGTCAAGCCAGTCAACACCAGGGGACCCCAAGGGCAGCTCTGCCCCCACCAACCCCCAGTGCCCTGCTGTCCATCAGCGACTCTACTGCCCATTAGAAACGCTCCCAGAGGGGAAGCTCTTTTCTCCCCTGAAGCCAGAGAAGGTTTTCTGGGGCTGAGGGGAGCCGCCCTGGGCTGGAAGGCCCTTGGCCCTGGCCCGCGGGAGCTGGCGAGGGCAAAAGCCGCCCGCAGGCCACCACTGGTGAGTTCAGTCATATCTGCAAACCTCTCTTTTTCCTTTTCTTTAAATTGACTCTTTCACCTAAATTTAGCCATAGTGCAACAGCATTCATTTTATCATGGATTTGATAGGCTAACCATGTATTTTTCTAACACACACACAAATAAGTATGGAGAGTATCGTCCACACTTTGGGAAATGCTCACCCAGCTATCTCCCCGTTTTGCAAGGAAGGGGCCCAGGCCCGGGGCTGTGAGGTAACTTGCCTGAGGGCATCCAGCTAGTGGCAGACCCAGGCCCAGAACCTGGATTGGTGCCCTACCTCCAGCCCAGGGACTTTAAAGCTGCTCCCCACGGCAGGAGAGGCAGCCAGGGAGGAGGGGTGGGGCCGGGGCGGGTTGGGACTCTCACCAGCTGCAACCACAGCCACCTGCCTCACCTGGACCTGCGGTATGTCCTGGGTTCCCACATGAGAGCGGAGAGACCACTGCCCGCCCCCACGCTGCTGCTGACCTAGCGCTCCCTAGGCTCTAGGCCACGAAGACTCCTGTGCATACTGTGAACACCTGGAATTTTCAAGACTCCTCTCAAGTTCGCTTGTCCCTTTACGTCCCCTGCACACCTCTCTCCTGGACAGAGGAAGGTGGGAAGAGCCGGCTGCAGATAAAAAGGTAGCACGGCAGTGTCACTAAGTGGTCACTAGATGGCGCTGTCCCCTGAGCAAGCGAAGGGACTCCCCTCTCCTGGTCCCTCCCGCTCAGCCGCCCACAAAATCCCCAGGGCACCGTTTGTTTCTCCCTCCTTGGTCACCACTTACCACCACCCCGTTTGGATGGACTTGTGCCCCTTCTCCAGCGCCTCCCAGGGGCCCGAGCTTCTGTTCCTCCCCCAACCTTCTCTCTTTACCTGAAACACCCACCCGCTCGGGTGACCAGCGCTCTGGACTGGCATTTCCTGGGTGACCCATCTGTCTCAGTTCACCCAAGCCTCTCCCAGGTTTAACATGGAAAGTCGCACATCCCGGGAAGCCCTTTGGTCCCTCCATGACCATAGAAATTCTGGAAATGTTGCGAGTTATAACCCCCCTTTGAGATTTACAATTGTCTTTGGGCTCTGAGAAGTCCTACAGGAGAGAAACTTCGGCTTTCTTTAACTTGCTATGTCCTGAAATTATTTGATCATGGAAGTCCCTCAGTGTGGCATGGGACCCCAGTGCTTCCAGGGACACAGTGGAGAATGCAGCTCAAGGGGCCTGGCTCCTAGAGGGTCAAAGGTGGTCGTCCCCCTCCTCCTCCTCCTCCCTCTCCCACAGTTGGGAGGATCAGAGAAGCCTGGGGAGGTGGGGAAGGGATGGCAACTTGGCACACCCTTCTAATCAGGCTCACATTGGAGCAGTGGTTCCCCAAGTGTAATTGCCTCGGCCCGGGGCACGTTGAAGTGCAGGATCCGATTCAGCGGGTCTGGGGGCCCAGGATCCTGCATTTCTAACAAGCTCCCTGATGAAGCTGATGCTGCCACTCTGGGGCCACACTCGGAGCAGCAAGGCTCTCTAGACCAGTGGTCCCCAGAGGGTGGTCCCCAGACTCCTCTGGGAACTTGTTAGCATTGTAAATTCTTGCCCCTCCCCATCCTACCCCAGACCCCCCAGGGGTGTGGCCTGGCGGTCAGAGTGTGAACCCGTCCCCAGGCGGTTCTGCTGCACAAAAGCTGCTCTAGACCAGCGGTTCTCAGCCCGGCCGCACATCCATCGCCTCGGGAGCTTTAAAACATTCCGGTGTGGCGCTGTGCACCAGGGTGAGAACCTGACATCCTGACCTGGCCAGACTTTCTAAGGCGTGTGTTATCAACTGGACTTTGCTCAGCTTGCTTGAAAAATACTGATGTTGGCCGATGATCAGAGTGCCTAGTGCCTGGAGGCACGATTTCCTGCCCGGGTAAACTGCTGGGGTCCAGCGGGGTCAACAGGCAAATAGCCTATAATAAAAGGTGAAAATACAGGAAATGAGAGAAGATACTGGTTGAAGGCAAACTGAGGATGTGAGTGAGGCAGAGAATTAGCTGAGATCCAGGGGCAAAAAACAAAGCCAAGCTTAAAGAAAAAGTGAAGCCCACGCTGAGGAACGGTGGTGTTTCTCGTGGGGCGTGGTCTATAGTGGGCGCAGTTGTCGGGGGCGGGGCCTCCTCACCTCCTGAGCCCGTACAGGTAACACACGGCGAGCGTCTCCACCAGGACAATGAGCAGCAGGGACAGCGTGGCGGCGTAGTCGTTGAAGATGTCGAACCAGTAGTTGCCGGACTCCATGGTGAACACCATGCCGATGGCACAGCTGACGAGGCACAGGAGACCTGGGGCCACGAGAACACCTGCTCACCTGCCTGAGTCGCCGCCTGGGCATCCAGTTTTCTAGGTGGCAGCAGAGCCACGGGCCTCAAGGGGACTCTGGCTGACTGGTTCCTCCACGTGGGCTGGAAGAGCTGGCATGGACTGGCCTCTTTGCATGCGTATGCTGTGTGTGTGTGCGTGTGTGTGTGTGTGCGTGTGCATGTGTGTGTGTGCGTGTGTGTGTGCGTGTGCGTATGCTGTGTGTGTGTGTGTGTGTGTGTTTGTGTTGGGGAGGCCAAGGTGTCCCAAGGAGTGTCAGCAGACTCACTGATGCTAATTTACGGAGCTGTCTTCAGCGGGCATCAAGCTCAATGGAAAGGAGAAAGTGTGGGCATTGCTGTCGGGAGATCTCACCAGGCTGTGGGTCTGGTGATGCTGTTTATCACAACAACTCAGCCCCTGAGCTCATGGGAGGTGAGTCGAGGGAGAAGGTTTGAGCTACAGGCACCCCCTCAGGACTTCCTGGAGGGGACTCCTGACTGACCAGAAGAGGGAGTCGGGAGGGGAGGGGAAGAAACGAATGTCTCACTGTGCCCCAGGCTTGCCGTGCATTGGATCCTCAAGCCTCTGAGGCAGGTATCAGGAGCCCCCTTTTACAGATGGGGAAGCCACGGCTGAGAGATGCTGAGTAACTTTCCCAATGTCCCACAGCATGTAAGTGGCAGAGTCAGGATTCAGACACAGGCCCTTCTGCCCCCAGAACCTGGTGCTTGTCTCAGTGTCCTTTGGCTGCCTTCCTTGGGCACCCCATGAAGTATTTGAATCTAAAGCTCCCACCTGCCCTTTCCACTGCCACACCATATACCACCAGCCACTGAGCCCCACTGCCATCCCAAGGGGGACACACAAGCAGAATAAATTATGTGCTGGCTGGGAGCTAACGGCACACATAATGCTGGCTACCGAGAGCAGGTGCAAGGCGGGATGCCACATGCTGGGGGCTCTGATGAAGGGCGGGCAGCTCCCACGGGAGTCAGGACTTCAAGGAGCTGGGATGGGAGCTGGGTTTGATTCAGGCTGGGAGGAGAGACGTCCTGGATGTGGTGAAATGGTGTCATCAAAGGCAAGGGCGGGTGGCCACAGGGTCTTCCGGACACTGCTGGGTTGGAGTGGCATACATGGGTGGTGGAGAGGAGTGAGGAGAGGTATGATCAGAAGAACAAGTTCCTTCCCTAACAACCAGAATGTCCACCACCAGCAGAACGGGTGGATAAGTTGTGCTGCATGGTCTTACAATGGATGGTCCTGCACAGGCAGGAAAGGCACGATGACTGCTACTTGCAACAATGCGGGTGGATCTCACAGACAGAGTTTGAGTGAAGACAACAGACACAAGAGTACATACTGTGTGCTTGCATTTATACGAAGTTCAAGAACAGGAAAAACCAACCTAAATGGTAGTAGTCGGAAGGAGGTGATTCTGGGGGTGGGGGCGTACAGACTGGGAAGGGGCGAGCAGAGGTGAGCAGGTGCAGAAATGCTGTCTCTTTATCTGGACCAGGTGGTGGTTACTTGGGTGGATACATAGGTAAAATTCATTGAGTTTGTGCTTAAGAAATATACATGTTATAATTGTTCTACTTCAATGAAAACAAAGAAAAAAGCAGGTTCTTTCTAGCCTAGAGAGCTTCGAGTGCCAGGCCAGGCAGTCCGGCCTTTTCCCAAGTCGGGTGGCCACGTCACTTCCCCATGATGTGGAGAACCAGATTCATGGAGTGAATCACATGTACCAGGTCCTGACGGCCCAGGACGAGGAGAAAGCCACGGCAGGACCACCAGGAGGGTGCGCAGCCCCCAGTGCCACCCCAACCAGCATGTGGCCTCTGAGGCAACTCATCCACCTGCTCGCCCCTACATCCCGGCCCTCCTCCACGGGCTGGCCACTCACCTGAGATGGCCTCCTTGGGCAGGCGGCTGGAAATGACCTTGCTGTCCGTCAGAGGGGTGAGGATGGCGGCCGTGTTCCCCAGCATGCTCCCCATGCCCAGCATCAGCAGCATGAAGAAGTAGAGCACCGACCACAGCTGGGACACCTCCATGTTCTTAATGGCTTCCGAGTAGACGATGAAAGCCAGGCCAGTGCCCTGGACTGCCTGCCCATGCGGGAAGACACCAGTTACACATCCCAGGGACAAGCCTTAAACACCCCCAATGCTGAGCAACTTGGAGGACCTTGAAAGTGGTCGTGAGAAGCCACCTTCTGAGGCTGGATCCTCCATCTGCACACCAGCCCCGCAGGCTTAGCCGGGCTGGACAGAAATGTGAGCTGTCAGGAGTCCATATTTGCAAAGTGTGGAGAGACATTTCTGTCAGCTTGGAACACTGAGTTCCCCTCTCCTGCCCCAACTCATATAAATTCTGGATAAAATAGAATAAAACAATGTTTGGATAATTTCTCCTTCCAGTATCATGATTGAGTAGGTGTTCTGAGGCCTCAGGGGCGGGAGCTGAGGTGGGATGGTGGAGCCACAGTGCAGCAGGAACCAAAATGGTGGGGAGCTGGCCTGGCAGAGGCCACCAGGAGGGCCGGGTTGCTCAGCCCCCTGCGGTGGTAATGCTGCTGTGGGGTCCGGAGCTGTGGAAACAGAGCCTGGAACTGCTGCATAAAGACAGATCTCCTGAAGGGGTTGAACGGGGTCATGGTCAGTTGTGCCCCTGACTACCAACAGCAGAAGACCAGAAGCAAACTCTCTCTGGCGAACGTGCCCCCACTTATCCCCAGGACCACCAGAACCATCAAGAAGCTAGCTTGCAAACAGAGAATTATAAACCCACAAGAAGACAAGCCAGCAGGAGTGAAGAGTCAGAATAAGAGAGAAGATTTAGAAGACCCTTCCCCAGCTGTGGCAGATGTTGGGCTGTCAGAATCTGAATATAAGTTTGCTCAATGGCACACCAATGGGGATAGTGGAATTCATCAGCCCTGGGTACAGACAAGAGAAGGGTGATGGCTTGTAGAGAATTTAAAACAGTGACAGAACCTACTAAAGTTGATCTGCTTGTTATCATCATGAGGCAACAGAGTCAGGCATAGAACGCTCCTCCCCTCCAGGGCAGACTGCTCTCACTGTCTTGCCCACGGCCACCACTGGAACAGCCACGGAGGAGGATGTGTGTACAGAAACAGAAGAGAAAACTACAGAGATAAACAGGAAACTATTGGAATAAAAAGTATATTTGGAAAAAAAAATAGTGTCTAAAAACTTATTGACTTAAAAGGCTCAATCAACAGCTAAATACCACTTTCAGCTTAAGAGAGAATTAGTGAACTGGGAGATACATCCCAGGAATGAATCCATAATAAAGCAAAAAAGAAAAGATGGGGAAAAATAAAAGACAAATTAATAGACATGGAAGGTACGACGAGAAGGTCTAAATGAAATTTGAAAAGGAGAAAACAGAGAGAAAGAGAGGCAGTGATTAAGAGATAGTAGGCATGAATTTTCCAAAGCTGACAAGAAACAGATCCTGGAAGCCCGACCTCATCCCAGTCTAGACCTGGGTAAATAAAGATCCACCCATGCAGAGGCCCAGGACAGAGGGAAGATGAAGAGAGAAATGAGAGAGAGAACTGGGGAGCTGGGGGCTTATGAAGAGCGAAGGGATATTTCAACAGCCTCAACGGAAGCCAGCATCACAAGGCAACTATCTTCAAAGTGTTGAGAGAAAATAACTGTAAACCTGCAATTTTCTACTCAGGGGAAAACTGTCTTTGAAATGTGGGGTCTAAATATAGTGATCTACATACAAACAAAACCTGAGAAAATTTGCCATCAAGAAACCTGCTGTAGAGGAATGCATTTTAAGGGAGAAAAAAAACAACCCCAGAAGACAGCCAGGCTGCAAGAAGGAATGATGAACACAAAAATGGCAGATGTGGAGGTGAATACAGACACAGTCGTATAAAGTAACAACAGCGTCTGATCTACAGGTTTAAAAGCCGAAACTGGACAAACATGAAATTTACAGCGGGAGTAATGAGATGAATGTGTTCTAAAGTCCTTGTACTGTTTGGGAGGGAAGTCAAGACATTGTTTAACTTTAGACTTTGTTAAATACGCATAGGAAAATTTCAAGAAGAGAAATTGACTATGCAAATTCCAAACAGTAGAGAATAAAGTGGAGGGAGGGAGGAAAAAAAAGAACAAACACAGTAGGAAAAAAAGTCTAAATAAATCAGTGACCACATCATTCTTGGACATTGAGCCAAGCTCAAAAGTAAGCAAGGAGGGCCAGCCCCAGTGGTCTAGTGGTTAAGTTCGGTACACTCCACTTTGGTGGCCCAGATTTGGTTCCCAGGCACAGACTTATACCACTTGTCTGTCAGTGGCCATGCTGTGCCGGTGACCCACATACAGAAAGAGGAAGATTGGCAGCAGATATTAGCTCAGGGTGAATCTTCCTCAGCAAAAAAAAAAAAAAGAAAGAAAGAAAAGAAAAGAGAAAAAAGGAAAACTCCCAGGTGCCAAAGACAGAAAGGAAATTTGAAATGAGAGCACCAAACAGGAGCTGAAGCCAAAGGCCTCATGGGTCATCTGAACAGGATCTAGGCTTTGAAGGCTGAGGCCTGGGGATTGGAGATCTAAGGCCTGCCAGGGAGGGAGAGTCATGGCACAGGCCGGCTGAGCAGGGAGCCAGGAGAACAGTGATGACCTAGAATGGCTCCGCCCATAAAACAAGGTGCCAAAACCCCCCAAGGAAGCTTGCTGGCAACCAGAGCTACGGGCCTTCACCATTCCCCGTTCTTGAAAAGTGTTCTCTAGAGTGACTGTCTGGAAGTATTTACGTTGAATTAGAAGTAATTACGTTGAATTTAGTTGAATTAGACAGATACGCCCACTCTCATTTCCACTTCTGCTGTGCTGGAAGTCCTGGCAAATATGATAAGAAAAAGGAATGAGATATAAAGATTGAAAAGAAAAACACGAAGTTCTATCTGCAGGTGATCTAAGAGTTTACGTAGGAAACTGAAGCAAACATATAGACAAATAAGAGAATTAAAAAGAGAATTCATCAAAGTTGCTAGATCCAAGATCGACACACAACAATCTTTAGCAACAAAAATAAACAATGATAGAAATAGGGAAAAAAGGCACCATTCACAATGCAACAAAACAGTAAGGTACCTGGAAAAAAAAAAGCTGAGGAAAGATGGGCCAAGATATTCACAGAGAAAATTAGCTGAAGAATTATATAAATGAAGATCTGAGTGAATGATGAGATAAAGCACGTTACTGAATCAAAAATCACAATTCAAAAGATATTAATTCTCCCCAAATTACAAAATTATAAAATCAATGCAATTCTTTTTTTTTCCTTTAAATATTGGCACCTGAGCTAACAACGGTTGCCAATCTTTCTTCTTTTTTTTTTTCTTCTCCCCAAAGCCCCGAGTATATAGTTATATATTTTGGTTGTGAGTGCCTCTGGTTGTGCCATGTGGGACACCACCTCAGCAGGGCCTGACAAGCTGTGCCATGTCCGTGCCCAGGGTCTGAACCGGGGAAACCCCAGGGCCGCCGAAGCAGAACACGTGAACTTAATCACTCGGCCATGGGGCTTGCCCTCAATGCAATTCTAATAAAATTTACAAATTATACAAAATTACAAATTATAAAATCAATGCAATTCTAAAAAATTCCTAAAGGGATTTTTTTTTTTGCCTCAATGGAACTTGTCAAACTCACCCTAAAATTAATGTGAAAAAATAAGGGTTCTAGCATAGCAAAGATAATTCTGTAAAATATAAATAAGGGTGATTTTAGTAGCAAATTTTTTTTTTTTTGAGGAAGATTAGCCCTAGCTAACTGCTGCCAGTCCTCCTCTTTTTGCTGAAGAAGAGTGGCCCTGAGCTAACATCCGTGCCCATCTTCCTCTACTTTATATGTGGGACACCTACCACAGCATGGCGTGCCAAGCGGTGCCATGTCTGCACCCGGGATCTGAACCAGCGACCCTCGGGCCGCCAAAGCGGAACATCCGCTCTTAACTGCTGTGTCACCAGGCCAGCCCCAGTAGCAAAAATTTTTAAAAACCCAAATGTCTATTAGTAAGAGAATGGATAAATAAATCGTGGTATAATTGTGTGATGGAATGAAATGCAGCATTTAAAATGAATGAATGAGATTCCACACATATTATTGTGGACAGATCTCAAAAATAAAAACGTTGAATGAGAATGATATCTCCCAGGCCCACTCATTTCCATGTAAAAACTGCCAAGGAAACAATAATATTATTTAAGAATATGTGTGCGTAATAAAATGTCAGAATGAAGGTTCCTGCCTCTGGTGAGCACGGAAAGCTTGGCACTGGTAACAGAGGGGACTTTGACGTCGTCCCTGAAATGTTTTCTGTAAAAAAATCTGAGCCCCAGATGGCAAAATGTTTACAATTGTTCATTCAGGTGGTAGATGTACGGGTGCTTGTTATATTATTCTTTGTACTTTCCTTATTTTTAAAATTTAAAAAGAGAAAAGGAAAAGAAAGAAAGGACCCGGAGAACCCAAACGCGCTTTCCAGTAACTAGGACGCCTGCGCAGCACCGGGGAGGGTGGAGATCACGGCGCCCTTCTCTAAGAGCTCATCTTCCTTGACTTTCACAGGATGTGCACGCCCCTCAGGCCGCTCTCAGAGCCCCAGGGAAGCACGTGGAGGGAAGTGAGCCGCAATCTTGCCAGCGCCTCACCGTGCTCAGCTCCGACTCTAAGCTGCAGTTTTTCATCTGGAGGAACACCTCGCTGTATTTGCTGGGGTAGGCGGACGCTAGGTAGCCCTTCACCTGCTCCAGGTTGCTGGCTGTCACAAAGCCATCTTCAAGGTCGAAAGAATTGGTCAGCAGCAGAATCACCCTGCAGAGCAGAGCAGAGCAACAGATCGCCCTTCACTGACTAGAAGGGACGCCGTCGCCAAACCCTCTTAGAAGCCCGGGCTCCCCTCTGCCTCTTCTTAGGTGAGGTCACTCAAACAAAGGGGATCTTTTGATTGGTGAGCTTTTAGAGGGCAGGATGATTCTGAATGGCTTTGAAGAAGCCTCAGATAGAAACAGAGAGGACAAAAGGAACTCAACCCACACAGCCAGGCTCTTTGAACCTCTGGACCAGCACTGTCCAACAGAACGTTTGTGACGATGGAAATGATGCACATCCGTGCTGTCCGGTCCGGCACCCACTAGCCACATGTGGCAACTGAGCATGCGGATGCGGCTAGTGCACCTGAGGAACTGATTTAAATTAATTTATATTGAAGTGAAAATCAATTTAAATCAAAATTTAATTAACTCACATTTAAATTTGTAAATAGCCCCTTGTGACTAGTGACTTCTGTATTGGACTGTGTGCATTCCGGATGACTTTTCTTGTGTTTGGGGAAAGGGGCGGCAGAAAGCAGCTTCTGTAATGTCCACGCTCAGCTAGAGAGCGCTCGGTTACTTCTGAGGTGGGGGAGATGGGGCGGAAGAAACTAAGGTTTGGCTGTTGAGTGCCCTGTGGTGCTAAGTGCTTTGAATATAGGAAACTCCCTCATCTGTTCAGGCAGACACCGACCTGCCCACAGGCCCGTCAGCTACTGGTGGTGTTGGGGGTAGCCCGAACTTGAACTCTGGATTGAGGGTTCAAGCCAGTGCCCTTTGCCCCACAGCCCTTGACTTCTCGGCATCCATCTCTTTCTGGTGCCCCTTTTGCTTGGAGCTTCAGAGACTCACCTCCCCCCTGGAGGCCTGGGGCTCCCTGGGGCGGCCCAGTCTTACTTGTTCAAACAGGTTTCATAGTTGAAGGTGGCCTTGAAGCCATAGATGGAGAAGGTCACGATGCTGGCGAATATGGAGGTGGAGCTGTTGATGAGGGACACGATGATGGCGTGCTTCTGGCAGTTGTTGGAGGGCTCATTGTAGCTGGCGAAGGCGATTAGGCTGCCGAACCCCAGGCCCAGCGAGAAGAAGATCTGGGTGGCTGCATTGATCCAGGCCTTGGGGTTGGCCAGCTGCTCCATCTGGAAAGCCAGCAGGGACAGGGCTGGGGATCCCAAACTCTCAGACCAGCAGGGGGTGGAGGCCCAGAGAGGGGAGGGAACTGGCCTATGGCACACAGTCGGCCAGAGGCAGGCCTGGGGCTGGAGCGCAGCAATCCTGGTCCCTGGCTGGTGCCCTGTCCATTCCCTAGCAGACAAAACACGCTTTCCTTGTGTCATATCCTCTGCAGCTCCTTACCCAAAGGAGGTGTGCAATTGAAAAGTGTAGGGTAAAATCATTTTAAAAGGTTCTGGGCCCCTGGTCCATGCCCCAGGCACTGCCCTGGTCTGGGCCTCCGGGATGGCGCTGGTGTGGCCTCGGGGTGGAGGTCTCAGGTTGGGTTGAACCTCAGCCCTGACATTAGTAGGCATTTGGAGGGGGGACTGCCACAGTCCTTTTGTTTCCAGGGGCCAGATTTGCTAAATGGAGAACTTGTCCTGTCCCAAAGGCAGCAGTGTCGTCCTCCCCACCCCCATTGATGAGCAGTGGCTGTGGGGGCTTGAGGAGTGGGTGGGCTGGGCAGGGGTCGCGGAAAGCCCTGCGAATTGTGGATTTGTCCCGGCAGGGAAAGGGCTGCAGGAGGGCCAGATGACTAGAGTGATGTTCATGGTGAAGAACTTAGTCCTCGGGCTGTAAGGAGGGGTGGGGTGAGACGTGGCCAGGAGGCCAGACGTGGGGCTGGGGCAGCAATTAGCTGGGGGCAGTGAGGACGAGGAGGAGAGGTGGACAACAGACGTACTGCCCTAGAATTAACAGGGCTTGGGGACTGCCTGTCTGAGGAGACCCTGTGCCCACAGGCAATCCACAGCCCTCCCACAAGCTGCCAGGCTCACACCAACCTCGCTGGGGACACTGTAGCTTCCCCTTCACCCTCCATCTTCCCCTCTTTCCACCCATCCTGGAAGGTGGTGGGATGAATGGGGGTGCCTTCAGGGCCCCCTTCCTTCTAGCCCGTACCTTGGGAGTGAACATGTAGGCCAGGCCATTGGTGGCTCCATGGAGCGTGAGGCCCCTGATCAGGTAGATGAAGAGCACACAGTAGGGCAGCGATGCAGTGAAATACACCACCTGCAGGCACCAGAGGGCAGAGTCAGCCTCTTGGAGATATGGTGACCACAGGGCCCTTTTGCCCAGGACAGATCAGCTGTCCCCATGAAACACCACACTGTCTTGGGTGTTCAGGCTGCTGAGAGCTGAAAAAGGCCTTGGGATTCTTGGTCAGACACAGGTTTTGAGTTTGGGCTGGGATGTGGGAGTGGGGTGAGCGGATACAGCTGCCCATGTCTGTAACCACCAGGAAATCTGAGTCAGCAGAGAAGAGGGAAACAGGTATGAGGCCTCTGCCCTCCACCTTCCCTTCAGCCCGACCTTATTCCAGAAAGGAAAGGAGGGAGCCCACAAAAAGACATTGATCGCATTAACATCTTTTCATTTCTAGAAAAGAAGTCAGTGTAAAAAGAAAATGTGGGCAATACGGTAAGATGAGCCCAAAGGAAAAGGGAACCCACAGAACACGAGTATGAGGCTCTATCCAGTTTCTGAGTCAGATTCCTCGCTGAGCTTCCTAGTGGCCCAAGCAAAACAGGAAGTACAATCACAAGACAATATAAATATCGTCTTCAAAAGGAAAAAAACTCAGGGGCTTGGAGGAAGGATGGATTTCCCAGGACTGGGGTCTGCGAGGAGCTTGGCCATGAGCGCTCGTAAAGGAAAAGAAGCGACGTTTGATATAGGAGACAATGTCCCTACAATAAATACGACAGACATGCAACGATGTGATTTTTATGAAAGGCCTCACTTCCACGGGCTTTAAATTTACACATAAATGGGATTTTTTGTCAACTGAATCTTATTTTCCTGCTGATGTGTCACAAGTTCAATGACGTCTAATCTTTGGTTTTCACAGTGGCTCCAGCAGTGGCTTCTTATACTAATTCTAATTTTCACAAAGCCTTAAAATAGAGACCTTAAAGTGTACATGTGGCCAGGCAGGACTGGAATTTTTCTGTATATCAACTCATATGTTCACCAGAGCGTCTTATGTAAAGCAAAGAAATATTTTGCAAGATTTATTTTTGTGAAAGGAGTTCCTTTAAAGTTCGGGTCCTCCTGTGAGAAACACAGCTGGTGACTCATGTCCGGATGGACCTGATTGCACATGGCCCTCCATTCTCGCTGAGACGTGGCGCCACCTTCCCATGAACTTCCAAGGCCACCAGGGTGGCGGGGTGCCCTCTGAGAGGGCTCTGTGCCCTCTCGCCCTGGGAAGAGCAGGCTAAGGTGGGGTGTGTCTTTTATCATTGATTCTTAACTGAGGCCATCGTAACTTGAGAAGAGTAATAAATCCACCAAGATTACAAGACAATAAACGAGGTTCAAGATGGAGATAGATAAGTGGAAAGAGAGGGCATCAGGACAGTGAGCTGAAGCAAATCAAGGGAACGGGGGACGGTGACCAATGTCCACAACCAGAGGACACTCAGGGCAAGTCCTTGGAACCGCCCTCCGTCCCCTCAGGGGACGAGTTTCCCGGCGGCATTCTGAAGTCTCGTCCAGGGCGGCTCACTCCTTCCCCATCAGGGAAGCCGGCAGGATTGCTGGACACACGACCCAGCCGACACCACTGGGAGAAACCATTTCCGACCAATCTACAGAAACTCTCGGAGGAAAAAAAGGAGATTCCAACAGAGGAGGCCAGGAAACGGCCCAGAGCTTTAACAAAATTAATCCCCACAAACAAAGTTGTTGGGGCACTTCTGTCATGGAGAAGGGTGTGGCTCGCGCAGAGGAAATAGTAAGAAAAATAAGATTTCATGGCATGACCTTATTTAACCAAGATACAAATGATCTAGAAAAGAGATGGCCCCGTTAAATCTCCAAGTTTGCAAACGTTGCCCTCAGATCTTTTGGGATCATGTTCATAATAATCTGGCGAAGACAAATTACAAAACATTTTTTATGAACATAAAATATCAGCCAAGCTTCCAGATGGGACAGAGTGAGTTGCTACAACTCTAAGCTCTCCCAGGGCAGACTCGCTAGTTCCTTAGCTTGGCCGTGGGATGGGGTGCTTTTGGGGCTAAGATGCTGGCTGTCACAGGGTCTTGGAAACCAAAAGAAAATGTTTACCAGGCATGGTACTGGGGTCATCACAGGGTACCTAAAATACTGTGGGTAGTTCTGGTCTTGATGCCTCAAGAAAAACAGGGTGGGGCTGGAGGAGGCAACTCAGGTGCTCAAGAGGGTGAGGACAGGTGACCTCAAAAGGGAAAAGTGGGGATTGATTACATCATGGAAAGTGTGGAGAGAGCAAATGGGAGGTGGCTCACCAAACCAAGACAATGGGGAGTCTTTGGGGCAAAGCTGGATCTCCCGGCTCTGCAGCTCTGCCGTTACTAGTTGGTGCCCTTAGGCAGGTCACTTTAGGTTTCAAAGTCTCAGGTGAGTAGGATAATGAAACCTACCAGGAAGGGCTGTTGCAAGGTTGAGGCAACGTGCCTGCCCAACCCCTGGTGGATCTACCATGAGGAGTGACTGAGCATGAGGTGGGGTCTGCTGGGGGTCTGGGGCATCTGCTGAAGCTTGAGAAAGATGGCGGGTGATGGAAACACCCCAAGAAAACCTTCTACATAGAGCAGATTAGAGTTAAAGGAACATCTCAGCCCTAGCAGGAGTAGAAGCCCGGGGATGCACCAGGGAGAAAAGGTTTGTAAATCGAACCTGACAGCTCTGGGGGCGGTCATTGAAAGTGGCGTAGAGCAAAGGTTCTCAAACTCGGCTGCACATTCGAGTCACCTGGGGAGCTTTTAAGATCTCAATGCTCAGGTTGCACCCCACATTCATTACTCCAGAACCCCTAGGATAAGACTGAGACATGGGAGTTTTAAAAGCTCTCCAGGTGCTACCCACGTGCAGCTGACTTTGAGAGCCAGTGGCTAGGGTATCTCGGGGCCATCTGCAATCATTTAAAATTTAAAGAAGGGAAAACTCACTCTCAAGTTGCTTGGTGCCACTTGGGCAGTATGGATTTGGGGCTGGCTGGTACAGAAATGCTCATCTTTTAAGGTGGTGGGAAAGTCCTCATCTCGAGATCTACAGTTGCAACTTCAAGCCCCGCTGGCCATCTTTATAGCTGATGGCAGAAGGCAAGCTCTTGGCAGTGCCCAGGGCTGGGGCAGAAGTGGCTGGCTGCCCTCCCGCCCGCCTGCCCACCCACAGCGCCAGCCCCATGCTGGGCTGTCCCACCTTGCCGGTTGACTCAGTGCCCCGCAGGATGCACAGGTACACCAGGAGCCAGGCCAGGATGAGGCACAGCGCCGGCTCCCACTGCACGACCCCATTCTCCTGGATGGACGGCGAGATGTTGAGGGTTTTCCTGTACCAGAAGTACTGCGTGGAGGAGGCTGCCTCACACTCCTCGTCGTAGCCTGTGCGGTTGCCATTCAGTGGGCAGACAGACCACGGCAGGGGGTCCTTTGGGATCAAAACAGGCATTATTCAGAGAGGTGAGTGCTGAGACCAAAGGTCGGGGTGGGGAGGACAGGAGGCGGCTCTGATACGGGGCTCATGGAAGAGAAGGGCACTGGTCCCTGAAGGGCAGGTGGCTGGAGCACCTGAAGGTAGACAGGAACTCAAGGGTTTGTCAAGGCACAGATGGGTCTTGGAAACGAGACAGAGGCAGGGATGGGGAGGAGCTCGAGGACAGGATTCCACACGCTTGCCATCCTACAGGTGTTTGTTGAAGACTGCCGAACTCGAGTGCAGGTCTGAGACTGAATCCACAAATGGACAATGGCCAGACCGTCTATGCGGCAGAACTCTGACCCACAGCCTCTGCAGCAGCCAGCCCAGGGCCTCAAACCACAGCCTCCGCGGTGATCAGCCCAGAACGGGCAGGGCTGGATCACAGACTGCCAGCTTACTCAGCTTGTGTTCCCTCCAACTCAGGACCAACTGGAGAGGTCCAGATCCACTCCCCTAGTCGCCCTAGCTGATCACATAGACAGCCCGCCTGTGGCTTCCCCACGCCCACGGCCTCCAACCTGGGCACGCCTGAAGTCCTCCCTTCTTCCACTAATGACTTTCTCACTGCCCTGCCTGCCTTGGAGCCTCCGCCAAATGCAAGAGATGGTGCTGACGCCCTCACCATAGCAGCTCCGAACAGGCAGCCCCTGCTTGTTCTCGTTGGGTGGTCTTTATTTCCACAAGTCCCTGGAAGTCCTGGCATGAATAAGCCTTGGGTCCTGCCCTCACTGTAACTAGGGGTGGGATCAGCGGTCGGGCGGGGGTCCCTGTATCTGCATTCATAACAGCCCCTGGTGCTCCTGCTGGGAAAAGCTGGACATGAGGCTGGAAGGCTCGAAGTCATAGCCACTCAACTCCCCTCTTCCCCAGGTACTCAGTGCTTTCAGCATCATAGGGCTGTAGCGGTGATTACATGAGTGAACGCTTCTAAAGTGCGTGCGACTTGAAGGATGGAAGGAATGGTTAAGTGATTTTCAGGAATCGCTGGCCCTCACGCTTCTGAGGGTTAAATAAAGGTGCCCCTTTTCTTGAGACACGTTATTTTCACCTTTGAAAGATGGTCAAGTTATTCTGATTTTGTTAGAACAGCACACGTTGCTTCCACCTTTGGAAAACTGTCTTAAGTATACAGATCTATAATGCCTGCAACGTGTATGGCAACCCCTTAGTTGGAGTGGCATTGTGCAGTGCACAACCTGTCCAACTATACTATGACAGCCCTGAACGGAGGAGGGGAAATGGTTACCATGCTGGAGTGTAAGAGGAGCTGTCCTGTTTCTACCCAGAAGGTGGAGGAGAGGCAGGGTTGTGGCCAGTCTTCATGGAACTCTAGGCTGGGCCAGGGAGATGATGGGGGGGGGGGCAGCAAAGTTCGGGGCAGAGAGTCCTTCCCATCAAAGATGTACACAGGGCGTTTTCCAATGGGTGACCTGGGTAGGGCTGATGGGGTAGCCAGAGTGGGGCGTGGAGGTAGCACCTTCCAAGTGTAGATGCCAAGTCCTGGTGCTGAAGTCATTCACCCAGGCATTCTTTGGGGCCCCAAAGATTCGAGGCTGTGCCCAAGCGCTCCAGAGAGAGGCCCCACAAGTCGGGGTTGGTCCACAATGCGTGGCTAGCCCAGCTCAGCACAAAGGGTTGCTCCTGTCTCCCCACACTGTCCCATCTGGGGAGAGGCTGAGATGGAGGAGGCCGCTGGAGGGCGAGTTGGGGCAGTGGGGAGTGGGGTCCCTGAGCACAAGTGGCAGGCACCCAGGAACAGAAATGGACGTAGGCAGCAGAGGGGACTGTCCTCAGGGCCTGGATCCAAAGACTGCCTCTCAGCGAGGAATTAGGGCTCTTTCTTCTCCAAGATTGTCAGCCCCCACCCACTCCACATTTCCTACGAGTGTCAGCTGAGGTTGTAATCAGAAATGCATGTTTGAAACGTTTATCTTTGGGACTAGCCCCTTCTGTGTTACAGCGGTCACAGTGGGCCGTCTGCAGGGACTTCTGGTCTGCAGGGAAGAGGAGGAGCTCAGCCTGGAGTCAGAAACCTGGAAGGACAAGTGACAGAGGCAGGAGGGGGAGGAGGGGACCGAAAAGGAGGAGGAAGGCCAGATCAGCGGAATCCCTCCTCATGGCTCTCTCCACAGATTTTCCCCGGGGGGCCTACTTTGCAGTGGTTCCTAATATTTTGGGGGTCACATCCTTCAGAGAGAACCCCATGAAAGCCATGTACCCCTCCCTAGAAAGGTGCACATACATGCGCACAGCCTGACATATGGCTGCAGGGGTCCATGGATCCCAGGGTCAGAAGCCTTCCCCCTGGTTGGGGGTGCTCCGCCTCCCCCAGCCCTGTGCACCACTTCCCGGCCCCCCTGAGGCTGCCGCCCTCAACCTCCGCGCCCCGCGTGGTCCCTCGTGGGAAGCCCCATCCCCTTCTCCTTTTGCTGCTCGGGCGCAGGCTCCGCTCACCTGGAAGGAGTGGAAGAGGTACCAGAAGCCCCACGCGTTGATGACGTTGTAGTACATGGAGAGGAAGAAGGAGACCACCACGCTGGCCACGCCTGCGAGGAAGGGGGGCGGCTGAGCAGTGCCTTCCCCACCCGGCTCGACAAGGCTGCACAGCCGGGCTCCGTGACCCCAGGACGCCCTGCAGTGCCTGCCCGGATGGCAAAACTTCCTTCTGCGGGCTTGTGAGCCCGTCAACCTTGACCAGGCCCCAGCGAGCGCCTTCTATGGGTTAGTCTCTTCCCCACACTTGTCTCCCCAACCCCTGGGACAGGAGGCTGATGACTTTTTTTGAGATCTAAGAGCCCCCCGCTGTGCTAAGTACTTTAGGTCCTCACAGCAATGTTGTGAAGTGGGTGTTATAATCCCCATTTCACAGAGGAGAGAACTGAGGCCAGGCCACCAGGCTGTTAGGTGGCAGAACTAGGATTCAAACCTAGTGTGAGAAGCCTTCGTCCCTGCCAAGCGCCACCCTGATGCCAGACACCGCTGCTCCCTTCCTGGTTCACCTGAAGTTGGCTCACTGGGGCCACACCTGCCCTGTGGTGGCAGGGACAGGGGTGTGAGGAGTGGAGGGGACAGGGGTTACCCCACCTGGTGAGGCCTGCGGGGAATCGGGGTTGGGGGGCTCCGGACAGAGAGAGGGGTGGCAACCAGTGGTGTTCCAGAGCCAGCCCACGCATGCCCCACCGCCTAACCCCACACTCTGGGAGATCCCATTAGTAGTTTGAAACTGGCCACGGTGGGAGTATTTACACCACCAGTATCAGTAAATGCTACAACCAGACCACCCCACCTCGAGAGCTGGTGGTTAAACATTTACCAGCACCCCCGACTGGCACAAACATCTAGTAACTTTCCTATTGCACAGCAAATGCTGCCTCAGAGAAGCCTTCTGGGATTGCTTACTCGGGCAGATTGTAAAACCACACTCCTCCAGGTTAAAAATTAGCTGCCATCCAAGATGAGGAGGCAGTTTGGGTTTGGAGATGATTTCTGAGGCCACTAGACACATTTCTTCTGCATTTGAGACTGCCATCTACAAGTTTACGCCCTCCTTGCTCCTGAAGTGTCACTCTGCTTTCCTGCCTGCCTTCTTATCTAGGGGTGGGAGGCATGAGCAGAACAGATCTCGGCCCCCGCTGGTCAAAGTTCCCCCTGCCTGGGGAGGCGGCCCTGGAACGTGAGGGCTGCATGGGGCAGGTTAACAATCTCCCGGACACTGGCGCAGAGTGACTCAGGGGAGGCAGGACGTCAAGCAGCGCCCTCTGATATCCACGTGTGCCTCAGCTTCCAGACCCTGGAGACGTTAGTGCCCACCACCACCTCCCAGCTGCTCGGTGGGGTGAAGATGAAATGAGCTCTATTCATCTCTTGTGCAGGCTGGCACCTGGCACAGAGGAGGAGTCCACTAAAGAGAGAGATGTTGTTCTTAATACTTAGCAGGGAGCCATTACAGGATTCCCAGATGGTTGCTAGCTGGGACGCTGAGTTACCGCTGGGAAGCATCTCCCTTTCACAGATGAGCAAACTGAGGCCCAGAGAGGAGAAGCAACGTGGGGTCAGTTCCCGGGATGTGTGCATCCTTGCTTTCTCACTGCCCTGAGGGTAAGAAGCCCAGCCCCCTCAGCCTACACTCTGTGGCACCCCCTCCTGGGCCATCTGTCCACCTGGGCCGAGGGCTCTCTCCTGGGCTTCACGCTTGCCTTTTGTTCAGCAGCTTTGCCAGTGGGCTCCCAACCCCACCCCACGCTGCCCAGGATACAGGATGGGGGTCTCCAGGTGGGAGAGGGCTGGAGAGGACCCACGTACCGACACCACTGAGGTAGGGGCTGATGGTCCTCCAGGCACCTATGCTGCCCTGCCGCATGCGCTGTCCCACCGCCAGTTCCAGGTACAGGAGCGGCATTCCCTCTACGATGAGCATGATGAGGTAGGGCACCAGGAAACTACCTGTAGGCATCCAGAACCAAGACCAGCCCATCACCAATGGGCTTTCTGCTGTAATCCACCCACCCTCTGGGCAAACGTCCTTCATCCATCCTCCCTTCCTGCCTTCAGTCTTTCCATTGTCTATTCATTCTTCTCCCTTCCATCCATCCATCCTTCTGCCTTCTCACTCTCTGCCTTTGCGCATCTTCCTGTCATTCCTCTCATCCATCTCATTCATGCATCCATTTTCTTCCACCCGTCCATCCTCCATCCTTCCTTCTATTCTTTTACCTTTCCCCATATGTCCATTCTCCATCCTTCCGCCCACCCACTCTCCTACTCTCCCACCCACCCAGTCTTCTCTCTTTCCTTCCTTCCTGCTATCTTTTTATTTTTCTATTCATCCATCCATCTCTCACTCGTACATCTATCTATGGACGACGTGCAGCCATGTCAGTTAAAATCTTCAAACACTTCCATCCTGGGTGATGAATTGCCACTGTCCCAAGCCCCTTGAGTGCCTCCCTCACTGCCTCAGCTGCCCCAGCCCCTCTGCCAGAAACCCCCATCCCATCTTCTATTGTGGCAACTAATGATTGATCAGCGCCAGGACCACTGAGTTGTTACATCTTTTGAACGTCACCCCTGAATCCATCCAGCCAGCTGCCCAGCTCCACACACTCGCTTTGGCCATTTCGAGCAGCCCCGATGGTGCCCCATGGGAGGGGGTGTACTAATCAACCTTTCGACTAAGTGCTTCCTCTGGGCCAGGTCTGGCCCCCGCTGGGTGTGGGCTGGATGGGAGATCAGCAGCCCCTGCCCTGAGGGGTCACCTGGGCAGAAGCCCAGCTACCTCCTAAGTGTCCCGGGCCACAGAGCCCTTAAGGCCCCAGATCTCCCGAGATGAGGCAGGGATGTGGTGCGCATGTGTGGGGAGACAAGGGGTTCCCCAACATATGAGCCAGGCTACCACCTCTTTACAGAGCACCTCTGTGCAAACCTGTTTTATATAGTAGCCTTCAGCCTCAAATGTCATTTTAATAAAGTATACTATGACTAATAACATTTTAAGCCCATTAGTTCCCAAGGAAGCCTCTGCAGACAAGTGTCCTAGGGATAGTGGGCAGCCAAGGAGTGTGAATGGAGCTACAGTGTGAATGGAGCCCTCCCCTGCCCCTGCCAGACACACGGACAGAGGCAGACAGCCTGCTGCAGGGCTGCCCACCACACCCGCCCCTGTGGACGGCTGAGCCATTGCTTCTCGTGTTGGGCCTGCCCCCGCCCTCTCCGTGGCCCCTCAGCCATCCCTCCCCTGGCTCCTGGCTCTATGGCAGTGGACCTGAAAAAAGGTCCAGTGGGAGAAGAGGGCAGGCCTTCTGATTAAAATAAAACCCCGACACAACAGGTGCAGGGATGAAGGGCTGGTTACAGAGGAAGTGGCTGTGAACGTGTTAGGGTAAACAACGAAATACAGATGCTTACGTAAACATCGAATCTTTACAAAAATGCCTCCGTCGTAGCTAGTGCTGTCACCTCCACTTCTCCCGCATCGGGATCGCACGAGAACTCTCCCCACCACACCATGTACCTTCACGTCACCCCTTAAGTAGCCGCGTAACATTCCTCTAGGACAAGGAGCCTGGAATTCATTTCATCAGTCCTGGGACACTCAGGCTGTGGCCAGTTTTCTGCCATCCTAAACAAAGCTGTGGGACAAAGCCTGTCCACGTCTTCGGTTATTTCCTCAGGACAGAAAGCCCAGAAGTAGAATGGCCCCAAGACCAAGCAGAGCCCCATGGGGCCCCCTCACCACAGAGAGAAGGGCACAGCTGTGTGCCCAGGGGAGTGGGCCCACACCGCTGGCCTCCGCGTTCCCAGCCTCATCCCCCCTGCTTGGGTCGGGGCCCACAGAGCCTGCTGGCTCCTTTCTGGACTCTGCTTTGAAGGTTGTGCTGGGCCTGCCCCCTCCCTGCCCTGCAGAAATGTGTTTCAGCGTCTCACCTCGTTCCTCTCAATAGCAAGGAGTCCGAGAGGCCGGCAGGGGCTCTCAGCCACCTTACACCTAACAATAAATGCTGTGTTAGGGGCCGGCTCGGTGGCACAACGGTTAAGTTCGCATGTTCCGCTTCTCAGTGGCCCAGGGTTCGCTGGTTCGGATCCCGGGTGCGGACATGGCACTGCTTGGCACACCAGGCTGTGGCAGGCGTCCCCCATATAAAGTAGAGGAAGATGGGCACGGATGTTAGCTCAGGGCTAATCTTCCTCAGAAAAAAAAAAAAAGGCTGTGTTGGCACCACCTGCTTGGAGCAACATGCCAACCCTCAGTGGTTATAAGAAAAGCTCATTTTCTCCCAAGGTGTTAAACAGTAACCCCATGAGTCCTGGGAAGTCCACAGAAGGCTTTTCGACAGGCCCTGCCTGATGGCCCACTGCCCGTGGGAAGGCTGGGAGCCCCAGGCCTGGTGCCCAGGTGGGGGCATGGCGGCTCTTCAGCACCCCCCAAGTGACTTCCATCACTCCTCCTGCCCCCCCAGCCATCCAGACAAACACACAATCCCAGTGAATTTGCTCTGCAATCATTTTCTCAACAATGATGCTAGAACAATTGAACATCCATATGCAGAAAAAATGAACCTCAACCCCTATCTCAGTTGTATACCAAAAAAAAAAAAAATCTCAAAATGGGTTATAGGTCTATATGTACCACTCAAAACTACAAAACCTCGAGGAGAAAACATGGGAGAAAATCTTTCTAACCTTAGGTTAGGAACAGGTTTCCTAAATACAACATCAAAAGCACTATCTGTGAAAGAAAATATTGATAAATTGGACTTTATTTTAAAATTGTGCTCTGTGAAAGATAGTGTTAGCACAATAAAAAGACGAGCTACAGACTGGGAGAAAACATTTGCAAAACACATATCTGCCAAAGACTCTGTATCTAGAACATATAAAGAACTCTCAAAACTCAATAATGACAAAACAGAGAATCTATTCAAAAAATGCACAAAAAATTTGAACAGACATTTCACCAAAGAAAATATACGAATGGCGAATTAGCACCTGAAAAGCTGCTCAGCATCAGTGTTCATTAGGAAAATGCAAATTCAAACCACGAGAGGCCACTACACACCTATTAGAATGGCTAAAATAAGAAACGCTGACAATACCAAGTGCTGACGAGGATTCGGAGGGACTCCCATTCGTTCCTAGTGGAAAGTAAAACAGGGCAGCCACTCTGGAAAGGGGTTTGGCAGTTTCTTATAAAGCTAAGCATACACTTACTGTATGACCTGGCAACTGTACTCCTGGGTATTTACACTAGAGAAATGAAAACTTACGTTCACACAAAAGCCTCTACACGAATGTTTATAGCGGTTCTATTTAGAGTTGTCAAAAACTAGAAACAACCCAACCGTCCGCCAATGAGGGAATGGATAAACAAATCTGGTACATCCATACAATGAAATATTACTCAGCCAATAAAAAGGAATAAGCTGGGGCCGGCCCTGTGGCTGAGTGGTTAAGTTCGTGTGCTCTGCTTCAGTGGCCCAGGGTTTCAACGGTTCGGATCCTGGGTACAGACATGGCACCACTCATCAGGCCATGTTGAGGTGTCGTCCCACATGCCACAACTAGAAGGACTCACAACTAAAATATACAACTATGTACTGGGGGATTTGGGGAGAAAAAGTGAAAAAAAAAAAAGATTGGCAACAGTTGTTAGCTCAGGTGCCAATCTTTAAAAAACAAAAAAGGAATAAGTTACCGATTCATGCAACAATATAGGAGAATCTCAAAAGCAATATGCCAAGGAAAGATGCCAGATTAAAAGGCTACATACTCTATGATTTCATTTCAATGACATTCTGGAAAAGGCAGAACTGTAGGGACAGAAAACAGATCTATGGTTCCCAGGGGCTGAGAGTGAGGAGGGGCCGACGAGAGGGGCATGACTGTGGTGGTGGAAACAGAACTGCATGCATTTGTCAATATTCATAGAAGTGTACACAAAAAAAGTGAATTTTTCTGCATGTAAATATACCTCAATAAAAAAACATTGTTTTTGATCAGTTTGAAAACAAGTCCACTAATCAACCCTCTTCCAACTGGACTGTTCCCCATGCTCCTTCTATGTAAACATGCTGACACTGGCTCTGTGTGAGGAGGACCTGGTGTCAGGGCGAGGCCGACAGAGGCCTGTAAGAGAGTCATTTGCTCCCATGTATCTTGATGGCCTAGTGATCTAGTGGTTAAGATTCGGTGCTCTTACTGCCATGGCCCGGCTCGTTTCCCAGTCAGCGAAACACACCACCCATCTGTCAGCTGTCCTACTGTGGCAGCTGGGTGTTGCTGCAAGCTATGTCACTGGTATTTCAAACACCAGTAGTGTCACCCGTGGTGGACAGGTTTCCATGCAGTTCCAGACTAGGAAGAAGGACTGGCCACCCACTTCCAAAAAAATTAGCCATGAAAACCCTGTGAATGTCTGATCCAGTGCCAGAGAGAATGGTGCAGAAACACTGGGCAGGGTTCCTCTGTGCTGTACCCGGGGTGGCTAGGAGTCAGAATCAACTCGACGGCACTAACAACAAATCTTGATGGGCATATTGTGGGAGATGAAATACTGTCACACTTTCTTTGCTCCTGTGAAGAGGTGGAGTCTATTTCCCCACCCGTGAATCTGGGCTGGCTCTGGGACTTGCTTTGCCCAATAGGATGCAGCTTCACCTTGGTCCTCTTGGAGCGCAGCCCTGAGACCACCAGTCCCGGCTACGGGAGGGTGGAAGGCCACGTGGAGGAACCCAGGCACCAGCTCCCAACGTGTGAGGGCCCTCCAGCTCAGCCCATCTATCGGTGAACGCAGCCAGGCCGGATGAGACCAGCAGAGAAATGCCCAGCCACCCACAAAACTGTGAGAAATAACTGTTTCAGCCACTACTTTTTTTCTTTTTACCTCTCAATACTTCTCTGTGTATTTCCTAAAAACAAGGGTGTTCTCTTACATAATCCCAATGAGC